GGTCCCTCTTGGGGCGCTTCGGACGTTTTGGAGGCCATCTTGGGCGTCTCGGGGGCCATCTCGGGCGTGTTGGATGCCTCTTGGGCCCTCTTGGGGCCGTCCTGGAGGCCACTTGGGCCGTCATGGGGCCCTCTTGGGGGCGTCTTGGGCGATCTTAGGGGCCGTCTTGAGCCGTCTGAAGGCCGAACAGGCGAAAATGCCAAAATCTTTCAAAAACCTAAGGAAATCAATAAGTTTCGCCTCTTTGGGCCCTCCTGGAGAGCCTCTCGACAGGCTCTTGGGCTGTCCTTGAGGCCTCCTAGGGGCCTCTTGGGCCGCCTTGGGCCATCTTGAGGCTATCTTAGGCCGTCTTGGGTACATCTTGGGCCGTCTTGGAGGCATCTTAAAGCCATCTTAGCCGTCTTGGAGGCCATCCTGGCCGTCTTGGAGGCATCTTGGAGGGCATTTTGGAGCCGTCTTGGGCAGAAAATTTGGGAATTGAGGTCCTTGGTAATCCTCCCGGGACCCCGGAGGGACGCGCCAGAGCCCCAGGGGGAGTTCTTCGAGAAAAAGAACCGAAACCAGAACCGAAATAGTCTGGCACGCCAGGCACCCAATCAACAGGGGGCGGCGGATCGAATGGCCTTCGGCACATCCCGCCACCGTGCATGGGTTGCGGGTCAGAAGCCGTTCGGATGGCTGATGGGATATCGTGGGAGGCTTATCGGGGGCGTCTTGGAGGCAGTGTTGGAACCTCTTGGGGGCCTGATTGGGGCCTTTCGGGAGCTTTCTGCTGCCATTTTGGGGTTCCCTGGGGGCCTGTCGGGGTCTTCTTGGGGCAACCTGGAGGCGACTTGGGGTGGATGACTCGAAAATGTCCGTGTGGGTTTTCCCTCGGCCCCCTCTTGGAGCTGTCTTGTGGCCGTCGTGGGCCGTCTTGGGGGTTTCTTGGGCCGCCATGGGGTCCTTTTGGGTCGTCTCGGAGCCCTCTTGGGTTTTTTTTGGCCCGGCTTGGGGCGAACTTGAAGGCCTCTTGGGCCGTTTGGGACGTTGTGAACGCCCAAAAAACGAATGTGCTAACAACGCACGTTTTCCCAAGGGAATGGGACGGTCTTTGCTTTTGGACGCTCTCTTGAGGTGCCTCTTGAGGCCTTCTTGGGGCGTCTTGAGGCCCTCGTGTGTTTTCTGGAGGCCAGCATGGGCGTTTTTTGGATAGATCTTTCAGCGATTCGTGGCCCTCGTGGACCGGCTCAAGGGCCTTATGGGGCCCTCTTGACCTGTTTGGGGGCCCTCCCCCTGGGCGCGTTCAACCACCTCCCTGGGGACCTCCCCCCGCCACATCGACCGGACGAGGCTCCCGGGGGAGGGGTTTGGAGAGGGGGAAACATCTCATACGCCGATGAACCCCAAGGGGTCGGCGGATATCAAGAAAAGCGCGTTCACTGGGGGCTTGGAGGGGTGGGGGGTCAGAACTGGGCCGACCCCACCCTTGAATTCAAGGGAGGGGGGTTCGATCCCCCCCTCCCCCCCTCATGGAGGGGCCGGTTCGAGCCCCCCCACTTCTCCTCCAGGCCAGCGCCGACGCCGGCGCTGGCTGGCGGCGGCGGCAGGACGACGACGACGATGACGACGATAACCACGACGAAGACGACCACGACGACGACGGCGACGACGGCGACGACGACGACGACGCCGACGACCACGGCGACGCCAGCGGCGACGACGACGACGATGGTGACCACCGCCACGACGGCGACGACGACAACGACGGCGACGTTCACGACGGTTGCGGCGACGACGAGCACGACGACGATGACGGCGACGACGACGACGGCGAAAACGACGAAGACGACGACGGCGACGACGGCGACGACGACGACGACGACGACGACGGCGACGACAACGACGACGACGTCGACGACGACGTCGACGACGACGGCGACGAAGACGACGACGATGACGACGAAGACGATTGACGGTGACGACGACGACAAGCACGAATATGCCGACGGCGACGACAACGACGACGACGACGAGCATGACGACGACGATGGCGACGACGGCCACGACGACGACGGCGATGGCGACGACAAAGACGACGACGATGACGACGACGACGACGCTGGCGACGACGACAACGACGACAGCGACGACGACGACGAACATGTTGACGGCGACGACGACGACGACGACGACTGTGATGGCGACAACGACAACGACGACGACGACGGCAACGGCGACGACGGCGAAGACGCTAGCGACGACGATGAGTACGACGCCGACGACGGCAACTATGACGACAACATACACCCCGATGACGACGTCGACGATGACGACGACGACGTCGACGACGACGACGTCGGCGACGACGGCGACGACGGCGACGACGACCCACGGCGAACACGACCGCGACGACGGCCACAACGACGACGACGACGACCGACGGCGGCGGCGACGATGATGGTTGCGACGACGACGTCGACAACGATGACTACGACGGTGACGACGATGCCGACGACGACGGCGACGACGGCGACGACGGACACGACGGTTACGATAGTGGCGATGGCCATGGCGACGACGGACACGACAACGACGAGCACGACGACGACAACGACGGCCACGACGACGACGAAGACGCCGCCGACGACGACGACGATGGCGACGGCAACGGCAACAACGGCGATGACGACGGTGACGACGACGACGTCGATGACGACGAAGACGAAGACGACGACGACGGTGACGGCGGCGACGGCGACAACGACGACGACGAGCACTACAAAGACGCGGGCAACGATAATGATGAGAGCAACGACGACGACCACGACGACGACGACGACGAGGACGAGGACGACGACGGCCGACGACGGCGACGGCGACGACGACGACGGTAACAGCAACGATGGCGACGACGACGACAACGACGACGGCGACGACGACGACGACGGAGACGACGACGACGACGGCGGCGAAGACAACGACGACCGACGGCGACGACGACGATGACGACAGCGACGATGACGACGACGGCGATGACGACGCCGACGACGACGACGACGACGGCAGCGGCGACGACGGTGACCACGACCGCGACGACGACGACGGAGACGACGGCGACGGCGGCAACGGCGGCGACGGCGACCACGATGACGATGACAAGGACGATGACGCCGACGACAACGACGGCAACGGCGACGACTGCGGCGACGACGACGACGAATATATCGAATACGGCGGCGACGACAACGACGTCGACGACGACGACAACGAGCACGACGGCGACGACGACGAAGACGATGACGAGGACAACGACGGCGACGACGACGATCACGAATGCGACGACGACGATGACGAGCATGACGACCACGACGGCGAGGACAACGACGACTACGATTTTATAGACGAGGGCGACGATCACGACGACGACGACGAAGTTTCCGACGACGGTGGCGTCGACGATGGCGGCGTCGACGACGCTGACGACGGCGGCTAGCAGGACGCCCACGATGCCGACGTCGACCACGAAGATGACGACGAAGGCGGCGATAACGGAAACGACGACGACTGCGACGACGGCGACGACGAGCGACAACGACGACGACAGCGACCACGACGTCGACGACGGCGACTGTGCCAACGACGACGACAATCGCGACAACGGTGACGACGACGGCGTCGCCGACGAAGACGGCGACGACGACGAACACGACGACCACGATGGCGAGTACGACGACGAAGGCGACGACGAGGACAACGGTGATAACGACGACCGACGACGGCGACGGCGACGACGACGACGGCGGCAACGTCGAAGATGACGGCGACGACGACGACGAAGGCGGCGACCGCGACCACGACGACTAGCATAATGTGGACGACGACGGCGACGACAACGGCGACGACGACGACGACGACGGCGACGACGAAGGCGGCGACCACGACGACGGCGACAACAGCGACACTTTCAACGACGACGTCGGCGATGACGGCGACGACGACGACGACGACAACCACGACGACGACGTCGACGACGACGACAATTGCGACGACGACCCACGATGAGCACGATCGCGACGACGGCCACGACGTCGGCGACGATGACTGACGACGGCTGCGACGACGACGGCGGCGGCGACGACGACGACGACGACGATTACTACGACCGTGGCGACGGCGTCGACGACGACGGCGACGACGACGACGGCGACGACGACGACGGCGACGACGACGGTGGCGACGATGACGACGACGACGACGAAGGCGACGGTGACGACGACGACGACGACGGCGGCAACGTCGAAGATGACGGCGACGACGACGAAGACGGCGACCGCCAACACCACGACTAAGATAATGTGGACGACGACGGCGACGACGACGGTGGCGACGACGACGGCGACGTCGACGACGACGACGACGACGGCGACTAGCACGACGGTGACGACGTCGACGGCGACGAAGACGACGAGCACGACAACGCTGACGACGACAAGCACAATGACGAAGACGACGACGGCGACGATGACGACGTCGACGACGACAGCGACCACGACGACGAGCGACGACGGCGACGACGGCGACGACGACGACGAGGCCGATGACGACTACGTCGGGGACGAGAATAACGACGACGAGCACGACGACGACGACGGCGAAAACGACGATGACGGAGATGACGACGACGACTGCGACGACGACGTCGACGAGGACGACGACAGCGACGACGTCGCATGGGTACCCGCCCCAATGTGGCAGACCGCTCGCACGGTTCGTGGCTTCACTGGGGTGCTCCACCGAAGGCCCCAGTGGAAGGGTTCGCATGCGTACCGTTGCAGGGTTCACTTGGGTACCCACCCCATTTCGGCAGACCCCTTTTTGGATGCGCGCCGAGCCTGGTCCGACGTTCTTTGGCGAAGTTGTCAGCGGTACTGCGGATCCCCTGACGAGTTCTTTCGAAATTGAGCTGTCTTGTGGGCGGTTGGGTTCGGCGCCATGGTAATTTCTTTTTTCCTCTAGAGGAGCGCAGGCGGAGCTCCCTCTTCAGGTTCCTGGCCCAGAATGGCGAGCCCGCGGCCGAGAAGGAGAAGGTTCGGAGGCCTGGATGTTGACACCAGCACCCACGTTGGCGGCGTGCCTCCACCGAGTGAAGATGGTCCCGATCTTGGTGATGGGTGGTGAGGTTCGGGCTTCTTAGGTGGCCGAGAGGCTACCACTGGCACCCAAATCCAGGAGCATCATCCCCCAGTGTGTTGGTGTTGGTGCCAATGTCCAGGCCTCGAAAGGTCACGGCGCTCCGCTTCTCGCCGTGCGGCAGCGTGCTGGCGGTGGGCAGCAAGACTGGCATGCTGGCGGTGGGCGGCGGCGTTCTGGCGGTGGTCAGGTTGTACATGCTGACGGAACTGGCGTCCGGCGCGTGCTTCAGGCAGGCTTGCCCGGACCTCGACCTCGGTGATCGGGGAAAATTAGCCTGAGGAAGGGCCCAACCATATGCAGATGCGAGTACTGCATTGTGGGTACCGCTTTCGGTGGAGCTCCCTATGGGGCCCCGAACCGTGTGAGGGGCGTGCCGAATTGGGCGCGGTTGTGCCATGCGAGCCCTCCCACTGGAGCCTTCGGTGGAGCTCCCTAAGGGGCCACGCGACGTGTGGAGGGGCGTGCCGAATTGGGCGCGGTGATGCCGTGCGAACCCTCCCACTGGAGTCTTCGTTGGAGCTCCCTATGGGGCCACGAAGAGTGTGAGGGGTGGTGTGCCTGATTGGGTGCGGTGGTGGCATTGAACCCTCCCACTGGAGCCTTCCGTGGAGCTCCCTATGGGGCCACGAACCGTGTGAAGAGTGTGCAGAATTGGGCGCGGTGGTGCCATGCGAGCCCTCCCACTAGAGCCTTTTTTGGAGCTCCCTATGTGGCCACGAAACGTGTGAGGGGTTGTGCCGAATTGGTTGCGGTGGTGCCATGCGAGCCCTCCCACTGGAGCCTTCTTTGGAGCTCTCTATGGGGCCACGAACTGTGTGAGGGGTGTGCCGAAATGGTGGACATGCGGAGCTCAGAGGCACGGATGGGAGGTGGGTGGAGGTGGGAGGAGAACGCGTGGCGTAGTCTCTTCAAAACGAGGACCCAACACCACAGGATGGTTGGGACAATATGCCCTTGCGGCGGAAGATCCTAAACAGCGTTGCGCTGTGGCGAAGATGGGGGCATTGACGGAGACTCCTAGAGTGAATCAGAAGGACAACGGGAGGCAACGGCTGACCACGGCAGACCACGGGCGACAACGGAAAAGAATTGGAGACGGGAAACAATGGCGCCTCGCCGTTTCTGGCTCACAGGGCTTCTGGAGTTGGTTTCTTCAAAGGATATTAAATACAGATAGACACATGACACTCGCATAGAAGCTGTTTAGGACAACCTGCACGAATGCGCATCAACTTCCTGAGCTCCGCACGGACTTCTTGGATCGGCGCTGGGGACCCCCTTGCGGTGCCTCTGCGCCGCCTCTGGCGCGCTCCGCGCGCCTGGGGGAGGGGGGCTCAGCGCCGATCCGAGACATCCGCGTGGACCTCCGAAAGCTTAAAACTATACCCCTTTCTCTGGCTCCAGGCGAGGGCGCGGATGTCCGCGGCCTGGCGTCGCCTGGCGTGCTGCGTGCCGCGGTTGGCGAGGCGGATGCGCAGCTGCTAATGCCGTCCAGGGTGGTGTGCTTTCGAAGGCACAGCGTCGTCGTGGACGACCTCCGCAGCCTGTCCTCCCGCGTGTACGCGATGAGAGCCGGACCGCTGCTCACCCGCGCGGGCGGCGGCGTCGCCGCGAGGGAGGGCGACTTCTCCCAGTGGCTGCGAGCGTCGCCCTCGCTCGTGCACCAGCGGTTGCTGAGGCTCGGATTAGGGAGAACGGCATCGACATCAACTGTCAGGGTTCCGCCGGATTTTTCGGATCGGCGCCGGCCCCCCTTCCTTGGCGCGCGGAGCGCGCGGGGGCGGCGCCGGAGGCGCCGCCAGGGGGGCCAGGCGCCGATCTAAGGAATCCGCGCGCACCTCCGCAATTCATGATAATGTTTTGCTTTGCTTCTCTAGAGGCGCCATCTCTCATGGACCCTTCTGCACGTCTACGCCCACTTCGGCCTGGCTGCGCAGGTACAGGAGATCCTGGACATCGGCGCGCCCTTCCTCGCGCTCGACGCGCGGGGCAGGAGCGCCCTGGACGTGGCGCTCGATCTGCAGCATTTTAAGGTTGTGGACACGATCCTGAAGCACGTCTTGAGGAAGGATCAGAGTGCTGTGCGTGGCGCGTTGCCCTCTGAGCATCTGGCCCTCTCCAGCACCGTCGTGCGGCTGCTGGAAAGCCACCGCATGATCGACGACAGGATGCTCATCGAGTTCCTGGAGAAGTGCTGCTGCCAGGAGCCGCTGACGCCCCTGGGATCCCACGGGAGCGTCCCCGACTCGGCCCCGCTCTTCCACGAGGAGAACATCTGCAGCTTCCCGGCGCCGCTCTTCGTGCCGGGGGACGCTCAGATGGACCGCCTGCTCTCGGAGGACGCCAACAGCCGGTGGTCGCTGCCAGGCAGGCTCGCTCGGCCACGGCCGGTGGAGGTGAAGGTCTGGTACCTCCGCGGCCTCGACCGCCAGGCCGGCCTGACGCGGGCCCTGGCGCACACCAGGAAGTCGCCGGAGATACTCCGCGCTGGCTTTGCGACCACGGTGCTCAAGCACAAGTGGGCCTCGTTCGCGAAGGGGCGGTTCCAGTCCGAGATCCGGCAGTATCTGCTGATTCTGATCTTCTTCATCGTGTTCTGCGAGAGCGGGAAGGGGCTCTGCAGCGATCTACCCTGCTCGCAGGACACCTTGGTCGACCTTGTCCTGTTGGGGTGCTGGGGGGCAACGTTGGGGGGGGATTGGGTTAGGCTGGGATGCATCGACCCCCAGTCGTCCAATCCATCGCCGACTGGGGCCCTCATAACCCACCTCGCCCAGGAGCGTGCAGAGTCGCTATCTGGGGCCTGTCTCCGATCTATCGGTGATCTATCGCCGATTCCAGCTAGATGGTTCCCCCCCTCCCTGAGCTGGCCCCTCCCTAACGTTGCCTCTCAGGTGCACGGTCGGGATGCTCGTGCTCTGTGTGCTGTCAATCTACAGCGAGTGCGTGGAGATCGGCAAGGAGGCGGCACTCTGGAGGAAGGATCATGGGAGGCTGACTGCGCTGAGCGTTCCCAGCATTTTAAGGAACTATTCGTTCGGCTGACGCCGCGTGCGCCGACCCTGACCCCGAGGGCGGATCCATCCCGGCCTTGCAATTTTTGCACGACGAGCGATTCCTCCTTGTTTCGGGTGGTAGATCGATCCGTTTCGAAAAATGCAGCAAACAGATTTGGTCCAGGGTTCCGGTCGGGTTCTTTCTTACGATGTTGTATATTTTTGTTCGCGACGTCGGATCTCAGGAGCCTCCTTGACATTTTCGTCTGCGGTAGGTTCCGGCAGACATTGATCGAGGAAATGTCAAGGCGGGCGACGACGCACGAGGGGACTTCTTGGGCAGTCTGTGGACTCTCTCAGAGTCCTCTCGGGCTGCGTTTTTTTGCGTCTTGGGGCCCTCCAGGGGCTTGGCGCCCTCTAGAGGCTAGCTTGGGCCGATCCATGGGCCCCCTTGGGCCGTCTTGTGTCTCTCTCATCCGTCTGGGAGAGGGCTTGGGGTGCGTCTTGGGACGCTCTCTCAAGCCCCTCTGTATTCATCTGGACCGGAACGGCCGTGCCATTCATTCCTGAGAGTTCAGGGCTCTTATTCACTCCTTGGGCCCTCCCGAGCGCCTCTCGAGGATGAACGCCCCCTCCCGCCCGAATTGCGAAGATCCCACCCCCCCGAGGGGCTTCCGGGGAAGATGAGAGATCTCAGACGCCTGACCCAAAAAGGCTTGCGATTTTGAACATCTGGAACGTGTTCGACTTTGCTAGGATATTCTTGACATTGTTGTGCGTGATTTGCAGCATCCTGGCCCGGCGCTCCCTCTTCGACACACTCAGTGGGCGCACGCTCCTGGCATTCACGGCCATCGTTTCTTGGTCGCGGATGTTGAGCTTCTTCCGTGGATTTTCTTACACGAGTGATTTAGTCTTGACAGTGGTCAGAATTATCAAGGAAGTATTGGTCGTCCTCAGCCTGTTGTCGGTTGTGCTTCTGGCATTTACGCATGCGATGTACATCTTTTTCAATTTGAACGGTGCAGAGGGATTCAGATTGGCGTTAGAATATGTTTACATAGGTGGCATTATCGGTGACCCGCCCGATCAGCCAGAGAGTTTCTCGAACTGCGTGGATACCGCGAACGGCGCGGACGGTCTGCACAACCCGCACACCGACGCCCCCATGGACTGCGAGTGGTTCTCCGAGCACCCCTCTTGGTGTGACCGTGCCGCGCTGGAGTACTACGACGACTCCGACTTCACCGTCACGGACATGTGTTGCGACTGCGGAGGGGGCCTCGAGGGTAACCAGTTTATCCCGCTCGCCCTCTACATGCTCCTGTCGGTAGTCATGTTGGTGATCCTGATGAATTTCATCATTGCCTTCATGGGAGATAGCTTCAACAGGGCCCGCGAGGACCTCGACGCCGCGAAGAACGAGATGCGCGCAGAGCTGGTGTACGAGTACGAGGGCGATTTGACAGAGGATGACGCCCTGGCGAGCTCCTACATCTTCATCCAATCGCGCTGCCGCGAGTACTCGCCACTTCGAGGTGGATTAACAGGGGGGTGCAAGGGTGGCTGGGTCCCCTGCCCCTGCAACCCGCAAACTCGCTTTTGGCTTCACGTTTCTTCTGTCGGTTTCAAGAGGCGTAGGTGGAGGCTCAGGCGTGGGCTCTGGAGTATTGTGTTCTTCGCCCAAAACTGGCTCCCTGCCTGGCTCAGAGAGGTTCATCGCCCGAGCCTTGCCCAGAAGAGGCAATATTGTTCCGACGAGAGTTCCGGACCTGGCCGACCCACCCCCACCAAGGGGCACCAGCTTTGCGACGTTCCTTCTCTAGCACCCTCTGCTCCCCTCCTCCTCTTCCTCCTCTTTCTCCTCCTCCTCTTTGGGTACGCTCCGCCTCCTCCTCCTCCTCCTCTTCTTCCTTATGAATAACTCCTCCCTCTCGCACCCCGAGGCTGGTCGGAAAGGCAGGCTGGGCATTTCTCTTGAGATGTTCTTATTATTTACACCGATGAAGGGCGGGTGATTCTCAAAATGTGGCTCTCGCCTGAGCGCCGCGCACAATCGGTTTCAAATGTTGCAAGAGTTTCGCGTATTGAGGGCGCGTAGTTTTCAAATTTTGGTTCGCGTCTTGGCGCCGCGCACACTCGTTTGTTAATGAATTTCACGGATTGAGGGCGGTTGGTTTTCAAATTGTGGTTCTCGCTTTAGCGCCGCGCATATTCGGTTTCGAAATTTGAAAGAGTTTCACGGATGGAGTGCGGGTGGCTTTCAACATGTGGTTCTCGCCGTAGCGCCGCGCACATGTGTTTAAAACATTGCAAGAGCTTCATCCATTGCTCAAAACGTGGCTTAGCCTTAGCGCCGCGTTCGTTTGAACGCATTGCAGGTGTTTCGCGGATTCTCAAGGCTAACCTTCCAGAAATTGTGTTTTCGAGCGATTCGAATCAGGATTGACAGGACGCAGAAGTTACGTTGATTCGTGGTGTTGAAGTTCCAGGAGTGGTGTTCTGGCACGTTTCAGGATCGTCAAGACGCAACCATCAGGTTGACTCGTGACGTTGATTTCCTGAGAATAGTGTTTTGGCACGCTGCAGGATTTTCGCACCGTTGTCTCCCAACGGGGCACTTTCCTCAGTGGAAGTGACATCTTGTATGGGGCCTACGAAGACAGAGTTTGGAGGGAGGGTGTATCTCAACATCGTTGGTGAGTCTTGGGTTTACATTTGCCCTCCTCCTCCTCCACCGTCTCCTCATGCTCCTCCTCTCTGGGTGCGCTCCGCCTCCTCCTCCTCCTCCTCCTGCTCCTCCTCCTCCTCATTCTTCTCCTCCTCTTCCTCCTCCTCCTCCTTCTCTTCTTCTTCCTCCTCTTCTTCTCTTTTTTCTTCTTCTTCTTCTTCTTCTTCTTATTATTCGATCTTCTTCTTCTCCTCCTCCTCGTCCTCGTTCTCCTCTTCCTCCTCCTCCTCTTTCTCGTTCTCCTCCTCCTCCGCCTCCTCCTCCTCCTCCTCCGCCTCCTCCTCCTTCTCCTCCTCCTCCTCCTCCTCCTCCTCCTCCTCCTCCTCCCCTCTCTACCTCTCCTCCTCCACCTCCACCTCCTCCTCCTCTTCCCACACCTCTCCTCCGGGTCCTCTGACGAGGGCCTGTCGAAAGGAGCCCCAGCGAGGCGGCGGCACCCCGGGAGGGCCCCGCTGTACGGGCGGGGGTCCGCTTAGGCCTTCAGGCTGAGCCCGAGCAGCCACCAATTCGTGGTCCGTGCCTCTCACGTTTTCTGCAAGGGCTGTGCTTGCTACGCTAACTGACCCTGAATAATCAGCGTTGCAAGCCAGCGAGTTTCAGGACTCTTGGAGGGAGGCCAGCCAGGTTGTGGGACGGACATCGCCCGACCTAGTGACCACGCCCTCTAGTGCAGCGCTCCTACAGCTCGGACAGGCCGTGTGTAGAAGTCGGCCCTGTTGGCCCTTGGCATAGACCAGGAAACAGCCCATGTCCTCCTCCTCATCTTCCTCCTCTTCCTGTCTCGCAGCCTGGATGCAGCGATACGGCGCAGAGGCGGATATGCAGGAGGGTGAAGCCTGAGCAGAAGCCCGATCAGGAGCCAGAGGAAGGGACAGTGCCGGAGCGGATCGCCCAACTGGAGAGGAACGTCCAGGAGATGAAGGCTGGCCTTGGCAACTTGGGCGAGAAGATTGACCAGGTGCTCTGGACATTCCTCGCCGCAGGGTCGGATGAGGAGGAGGAGGCGGAGGAGGAAGCGGAGGAGGAGGATGGGCAAGAGGGAGGGTGGGTGGGTGGGTGGGAGGAGGAAGTCAGATACAGGATGATGAGGAGGAACGAAACTTGAGGGATAGGGAAGAAGGAGCAGGAGCGGGGAGGAGGAGGACCCCCCTCTACAATTACTCAATATGAATACTACTCTCCCTCTTCCCCTGATGACGGTTTGAAAGTGCTCGACCCCCCCCGCGTACTGTTTTTTTACACAGGTTTCCCCGGAGTTTGGTTTTCGCCTTCATTTTTTTTTCAAAATACTGCTTTCGCTGAGGCGCCAGCTTCATTTTCGGGCCCCGCTCGTTCCGAATCGTGCTCCCGCTGCAGCGCTGGCTTCATTTCCGTGCTTCCGCTCGTTCCGAATCGTGCTCCCGCTGTAGCGCTGGCCTCATTTCCGCGCTTCCGCTCGTTTCGACTCGTGCTCCCGCTGCAGCGCTTGCGTCATTTCCCGTGCCATGCCACGGTATGCAATGCAATGCTAGGTTGATACTACGCTTTGCGGTGCTCTTCTACGCCATGCCATGCCGTGCTCTACAATGCATCGCGTACCCTATCGGGATCATTGCCCTGCTCGACATCCGACTGTGCGAGTAGAGAGGGGATCTGCGCCATGGTAGAGGATGGGAGGGAGGGGTAGGATGTCAGATATGACGCGAGCGCACCTAGCTTGCCTTACCCTCTCCTCCCCTCCCCATGTCTCCTCACCCTCTCCTCCCCTCCCTCCCTCCCCTCTCCCTCCGCCTCCCCTTCCCCCCCTCGCCTCCCCTCCCCTCCCCTCTCCCGACGCGAGCGCGCCTGGCTGGCCTCTCTTCTCGCCCCCTCCCCCGGCCAGGTGCTCCGAGCCCTCGAGCCCCGCGCTGCCGCCGCGACCCCGCGCGGGGGCGCCTGGAGCCCGGCGGCGGCCCCGAATTCGCCCGAGCCCGCGACCAGGAGAGCGTGACGGCCGGCGCGGCGGGGGGGGGAAACGAGGTGACTTCGGGCTCCCAGATCTCCTTCCTCGTCCTTGCTCCTCCTTTCTTCTTTTTCCTCTCCATCCTTCCTCCTCTGCCCCCCCCTCCCTCGTCTCTCCCTCCGTCCTCCTCTCTCCCTCCTTCCTCTTCCCTCCCTCCTTCCTCTTCTCTCCGACCTTCACCCTCACTCACTCCTTGCTCCTCTTTTCATCCGTGCTCCTCTTTTCATCTTTGCTCCTCTTTCTTTCCCCCCTCCTCCTCTTCCTCCTCCTCTTCGACACAGCACAGCTTCGGCGCAAAAACAGAGCGTTTGCACAGCTGCACAACGGTGGGTGGCCCTGCTCTTTGGTCGTGCAATACGTGCCTCTGTGACCCTAAGCGTGCCATTCAATATCGAACAAGTCACGAGCGAATTCTAAAGTAGACGCTTCACGTAACGTAACCCACCAGCGATTCGCCCACCGTCTTTTCTCTTGTCCGCATCCAGAGGTTGTCGCCCTCAGGACAGAGCTGCTGCCGCCAGAGGTTTGCAGGCCGCGCTGGAGGCGCCAGAGAACAGCCCCCTGTACTGCTTCGGTCTTTTCGAGCATCCAGGGGAGCAGCACGATGATTTTCCGCTGCCCAGGGAGAAGCCCATTGTTCGATTTGTCAGACACGACGGACAGCCAGACACGGTACCGCACTTTGGGGGGCTCACGGGAACCGACGGGTCGTGCACCAAGACAGGCATTGCGGAGTTAGACAGAGCGACGTTTTCGGTAGTGGCTTACAGTACCGACGGGGCCCCAGAGGCCTCATTTTATGGCGCTGTGGCAGCCAACCTCCCCCAGACTTCTCAGGCTGGGGAGCACATGGGCTTCCTGGTGCTCCAGGAGGCCCTCACCAAACCCTCCAAGGCCTGGGTGGACTGCAAAGCGGTCCTGGATCAGCACGCTAGGCCACTGCCGACACGTCTCAGCAGTAAGCTAAAGTACTCAGGCCTGCACAAGCTAGCGCTTGCGCGGGACAGCAGACACCTCCTCGAGACGGCCTCTAAAGTCAAGAGCCATCAGAATGTGAACGATCTGGCTGGAGAGGCCAGACTCGCTGCCGAGATCAACACAGCAGCGGACAAGATGGCGAAGGCGGCAATGGACTGCCACCCAAGTTTCAACCCGTCAGCGCTGCAGGAGTTGCAACGCAAAATAGAGGCCGCTCGAGCGATTGGTTTATATGCGCCCAGAGTTCTCGCCCTTTGCCAGCGCAGTAGGCACAAATGCGAGAGAGCCGCTCTGCCCTGTAAGGTTCAGGCCACCATCGTCGTGCACGACTGGGAGGTTCTTCAAGGGCCGATACCGTACAGGTGCAGAGCTTGTTTTACGTACGCCCGATCTTATAAGGCAGCCGTCGCACGAGAGAGACAAGCGTGTCAGCCTCTGGCCAGCGCGTTCAGGCGCGGCCTCGAAGGCATCCACGCCAGCCACCAGATGGCAATAGCGCATTTTGCCGTGCCAGTTGTCTTTTGTCTAATCTGTGGGCGCTATGCCCAGTATGCTTTCAGAGGCTTGCCAGCCACTTGTCCAGGACGCCCTCCCAAGAGCGGCGGACGTGCGAACATCAGAAATCGTCTTCTGGCTGGCAAGCATCCAAGGTTTTCAGATTTTGCTTCAGAGTCCGAGCGGTACAACACCGCAGAAATTCAAAGGCAGCAGCGGGCGCAGCGTGAACGTGCAGCAGCGCGCGCGGCGATGCCACTCCCGAGTCAGCCGCACCCAAGATTGGAGCCTCGCCCACAGAGGTTCGAGGCTGGTCGAGGGCGCCAGCAGCCATTCAGCAGGCGCCTAGAGGAGGATGGGGTACCCATCCCTCCTGTGGGTTTCGGCGTGGACGACTCGGGATCGTCGGACTAGGCCCCCGTCCAAGGCCCACCGCCACCTCGGCGGTGCTGTGCGCTTGTGAGGGGCCACCCGCCCGACGGTCTCTGCCCTGGGTCTCCGCCACTGGCGCGCCCAGGCACCGTCGGGCCACCCCACCTGGAGGGTGACTGGCCAGAGCCGCGTGCGTATGGCCCGAGCATGGAAAAAAAAAGGCGCGCTCGACTGCGGCTGCTGACTAAAAAAGTAACCCACCAGCCCACCCAGAAAGGGTGCCCAGACGAGTTGCCCTGATCAGGGATGTGGATGAGCATGCAGTAGAATACAGAGGCTGGGTAAGTCGTCATACCCTGAGATGGAAAGGGTGGCGGATGAATCGGAGGAGCGGGAGGAGGAGAAGGGAGAGGGGGAGGGGGAGGAGGCATGAGGAAGGAGGAGGAAGAGGAGGAATAAGCGGATGATAATGATGATGATGATGATGATGATGATGATGGTGATGGTGATGGTGATGGTGATGGTGATGATGATGGTGATGATGATGATGATGCTGATCATGATGATGATGATGGTGATTATGATGATTATGATGATGCTGTCGATGATGATGATGATGATGGTGATGATGGTGATGGTGATGGTGATGGTGATGGTGATGATGATGATGATGATTGTGGTGGTTGTGGTTGTGATGGTAGTGGTGATGATGATGCTGATGATCAGTATGACGATGCTGATGATGATGATGATGATGATGCGGACGATGCTGATGATGATGATGAATCTGACGGTGTTGATGCTGATGATGTTGATGATATAGAGTATGATGATGCTGCTGATGATTCTGCTGCTGATGATGATGGTGATGCTGATGCCGATGATGCTGACGAGTATGCTGATGACTATGGTGATGCTCATGATACTGCTGATGCTGATTATGCTGCTGATGGTGATGTTGCTGATGATGATCATTCCTGATGATGCTGTTGATGATGATTATTCATGGTGATGATTGTGCTGACAATGATGATGTTGACGATGATGCTGATGATGCTGATGATGATGATGCGGATGATGCTGATAATGCTGGTGGTGTTGCTGCTGATTATTATTGTGATGCTGATTCTGGTGATGCTGATGGTGATGGTGATGATGATGCTAATGATGCTGATGATGCTGGTGATGCTGATGATGCTGATGATGATGCTGCTGATGTTGATGATGCTGCTGATGCTGATGCCGATGATACTCATGATGCTGCTGATGATGATGCCGATGATGATGCTGTTGATGATGCTGATGATGATGCTGAGTATGATGATGCTGCTGCTGATGATGATGATGATGCTGATGCTGATGCTGATGCTGATGCTGATGCTGCTGCTGCTGCTGAGGAGGAGGATGAGGAGGAGGAGGAGGAGGAGGAGGAGGAGGAGGAGGGAGGGGGAGGGGGAGGGGGAGGAGGGCGAGCAGACAAGGCCAGACGCCTCTTGGATGCATCTTTGAGGCTGTTCGGATTTTTCTCCTCACAGCTTTTTGGAGTCCTCTTGGGGTGTTCTGCGCGTCCGTTTGCAGTCCGGGGGGGTATCTTGGAGCGTTTTGGATGCCTCTAGGGGGCCTCTTGGGGCCTCTTCGGAGCTTCTTGGGGGGATTGAGGGCCTCTTGGACCCTCCGGTGCACCTCTCGGGGCCTTCTTGGGGCACCCTTGGGAGCCATCCTGGGGCCACCTTGGAGGAGGTCGATCAAAGGAGGGGCCGTAGTACATGTAGCCCCCCCCAGGAGGCCAACATGTGGCCAAAACATTCGTACGCTCAATGGATTGTGTCTTCTCGCCGAGGCCTCTTGGGGCGTCTGGAGTGCCTCTGGGTGGCCTTTTGGCGCGTCTTGAGGGTCTCTTTGGGAAGCCTCTTGGGGGCATCGTGGGGACCTCCTGGGGGCCTCTTGGGGCCTCCCGTGCACCGCTTGGGGCCATTTTTGGGCACCCCTGGGAGCCTCGGGGGCCATTTTGGGGCCACTTTGGATGAGATCGATCAAAAGAGGGTGGCTCCTGAATTAGACCCCCCCAGGACGCCAACATGTGGCCAAACCATCGTAACATGAATATTGTTGGCCTTCTCGCCGAGGCCTCCTGAATGCGTCTTGGGTGCCTCTCGGGGGCCTCTTAGCGCGTCTTGGGGTTTCTTGGGATCCTCTTGTGGGCATTTTTGGGGGCCTCTGGGGGGCATCGTGGGGACCTCCTGGGGGCCTCTGAGGGCCTCCAGGGCACCGCTTGGGGCCATTTGGGGGCACCCTTGGGAGCTTCGGGGGCCATCTTGAGGCCACCTTGGAGGAGATCGATCAAAAGAGGGGGGCTCCTGAATTCCGCTCACACCCCCCTCCAGGAGGCCAGACTGTGGCCAAACAACGTGTACAATCAATGATGTTGGCATTCTCGCCGAGGCCATCTTGGACGCTCTGACGACCCGAGGCCCGGCCCGTCCTGGTCTAGGGGTAGGGGGTAGGGGGAGGGGTCAAGCTACCCGCCCGCCCACAAGCCGTCTAGCTCACTCCCACCCGCCCTCCCTACACACGAGTAGCACCCGAGCCTGAGCATGTTCAGCGGTCGTCTTTGGATGGGCAGCTACTGGGAACCAAAGCCGAAAGCCGACCCCAGGTGCGCGACGCTTGAGCAGGGTGCGCCACGCGTGCCAGGGGCGTCACGCCCGCCAGGCACCCCTGGAGCCCGAGCGTGCCAGGCACGCCTGATGCGCCAGATGCGCCACGTGCTCCGAGTGCGCCAGGTGTGTCGCACACTCCAGCCGCGCCAGGTGCGCCGCGTTCGGGGCACGTGCAGAGTGCGTCAGGTGCGCCTGCGCACGTGAAAGCACACATCGGGAAACATGTCGGCCCCCGCCATCCTTTGCGAAAGCCGATGCCCATTCTTGTGTCTGCTGGGCCTGCGCACAGCAGGCCACGCGCCACCATCCCCGCCGTCCCTGTCAAAAACCACTTTACAGTGAAATCCTGAAGCGCTTCGATGGCACGTTCGCGAGGCAGCTCCACAGCGTGATCGCGGAAGGGGCCCAGTCCACCATCTGCCTGAAGTGCGGGTGAGAGCGGGTCAAGGGCCAAAGTCGCAAGATGAAGGTAAGCCTGAATACACCGTCGACGAGCCTCGAGTCGCCCGTCCTCTACCGCACGGATGGAACGCATAGTGGGGCCAATCTTGCCGTCGAACGTGGTGGCCGCAACCATGCTCGCAGCGCGCTGCTCTTTAGCCATGGTCGTGGAAACGCACCGAATCGAAACTTTGAGTACTGCTAGCCTCCTGAGCGGTTGTTCCGCAGCTGGATCTCCCCGGAGCCGAGCCTCGAAATCGAGCAATACCCTGACTGCCCAGTTCTCAATGCTTGACGATATCCGTTGGTATGGCGGCCATGCCAGAAGATGTTCGGGAAGATGCTCGCCGCGAAAATGCGACTGCTCGATGGGCCGAAAGTTGAGGTACCCATTCCAATGCAGCGCACGCGATCTGTCGATCCAGCTGGTCAGCCACTGGCGCATTGCAATATATTGGATCAAGTCGAGAGCGTGCGGAAGCGGAATCGTGTGTGGCACTTGCTTGGCGCACCTCGTACAACCCAAGGGGCGCCGCCACAATCTCGTTCCAGTGTTTCTCGTCCGAGCTGTCCGAGTAGCCAGAATACACGCCCGCTGTCTTGTTCCAGCGGTCACGGTCTTCCACTACCCAGTTGAAGTCACCTGCAACTATTGCCAACGCCGACTTCTGGGTCGAACACCTTTATGCCATCAATCGTCGCATCAATGCACGCTGTTGCGCCGGGCTGCAATGTGCCCCATCAAGAATTGCCAGACCCCGAGGCGTAACTGCGCCGTCCGCCCCCGTGGCAAAATAACACGACCAAGTCCAGAACCCAAATCACCAACAAGATGAATAATAGCGCACCTGCTGGGCACCATTTTCTCAAGCCAAGGTTCCGCAAAACGAAATCTCTGGATGAAGGTGTCCCGAACGATGATGCCCACCCCGGCGCGCCTGGTATTTCCAGAGGACCAAAAAGCCCGCGCGCCAGGAGGAAGCCCGAGCGCCGCTGCAGCACCTTCCGTGCCGTGCGTCTCCGTGAGGAACACTAAGTCGCGTTTGCCCAGAAGTCGCATAGCATAATGCCGTTTCCGGTGGTGTCGGCTAGCATCTCGCGCAAATAGTGCCAGTGCGTTCCACGCGGCCCCGACATAATCACCGCGATAGGAACCGCAAGCCCGACCACGTTGAGGCGCGATGGTAGGCGTGCCCGTAGCACTCCCGGAGGCGGAGGCTGAACGGCGTCGCGGGCAAGTTCGCAGGCAGCTGAAGTTCGTCTTCCCTGGGAGGTCTACAGGATTGGCGGCCGCGCAGCTCTCGGACGGGACAGTCGTGACAGACCCAGAGGAGATGGCCACAGCGCTCCGCGAGCATTGGGCGGAGGTGTTTACGGCCCGACCCCGGGATGCTGCCTTGCTGTCGCGATGGATGCCGGAGGGCTTCCCAAAGGGTTCCAGCCCCCCGCCTCCGTCGGATGCCCGCTGGCGCGTGCGACGACGGGATGTGGCGCCATTGCCGTATCCCCGAACTCGGCACCTGGACCTGACGGCATACCGTATGCGGCCTGGAGGCGGCTCGGGCCCACGGCAATTGACCTTCTCACGGCGGTGTCCCGGGACTTCTCCGCGGAGTTAGGGCCTGCGCACCTCCAGGAGTTTCATTCTATGGACCCCGCCGATATCCACGAATTCAATATGGGACTGCTGGTGCTGCTGCCGAAGGCCCCTGCCGGTTAGACAGATGACGGGGTGGATTACTACGCGGCTGGCGACGTCCGACCGCTGAGTTTGGTCAATGGCGAATGCTTTGCGAGTGGGTGTCCGAGTGTCAGCGGGGTTTCCTGCCAAAACGTTCCCTCCTTGCGAATGTGCTGGACATGGAGGAGGTGATGATTCGGACGGCGCTGCAAGAGGAATCAGGTGGCACAGTACTGTTCGACATCAAGGCGGCCTCCCCCATATCTCACGGTTGCGTTTTCGATGGCCCTGGAGGGGCTAGGTTTGCCGCGAGACGCGCTATGCTTCATCAAGTCCTTGTATGACGAGGGCCGCTGCGAGATGGTCGTCGGGGTCGGCAGGCGCGCGGGGGTCCGCGTGCAATCGGGCATCCGTCAAGGGTGCCCTCTCTCGCCGCTCCTCTTCGCGGTGGTGCTGGACGTCTTCCTCCGACGCGTGCGCCGCCACTTACCCGAAGCCATCTTCCGGGCGCATGCGGGCGACATGGGGTGACCGTGCCCAGTTTGACGGCCGCGTTGCCCCAGCTGCAGCGCCACTTCCTGGAACGTGCTGCCGTCGCAGGCCTCCACGCCAACATCGCCAAGACAGCCGTCGTCCCTTTTTTCCCCGTGGAGGCGGAGGAGCTCAGGAGTGAAGTGGCCCTTCTCTGCCCTGGATGGGCCGGCATTCAGATCACGCGTGCTGCAAAATGCCTCGGCTTCTACTTGGGCCCCGAGCGCGGGAATTCGGACTGGCAGGGGCCCCTCCGGAAGGCCGCAGCTCGCGCGGCGGGTCGGGGGCGGCCCCCTTTTCGGCCCACGCGACAGTCGCATAATTTCATCATTGATGTTTGTGGCGCAGTTGGAGGCGTTTCCGGAGCAGTGGGAGCAGGTGGAAGAGCAGGCGTTGCGAGCTATGGTTCGGGGCCCCGGTGGTTGGTGCAGCGCGCGGGGCCTCCATATCCTACGTCGCGGGTGCGGCGCGCCGTGCGAGTTCATCTGTTTGCGGAGACGCGCGGTGGCAACCCGTATGCGCGCGCTGCATTTCGAGTCGCTGAACATCGCCGCCTGGACCAGGATACACTCGGGAGCTCATTGCTCAACGCCGCGGCTGGGGCGAACAGCCACGTGGCATCGCTGGTTTGCGCAGTCTTTCTTTGCTAATCTAACGGGGGCTTCATCAACGTGCACCGAGCAAGGTCTGCATCATGATCGGATCATGGGCGAAATCGCGATGCCGCCTGGCCGGCAGCCGACGCCCGCCGACTGGGGACAGGTGCGCCGACAAGATCAGAAGTATAGTGCGGTCGTATAGGTATCGACGAGGCGCTGGTAGGTTCCATCGGGAACGAGGTGCATTTCCGCATGCGTCACAAACTGAACCGCTGGGACATCAGATTGTTCCCGCGCGTGCGAGCGGACCGTGCACTGCATATGCTCGCCCGCTTGAATGGGCTAGTGCCGCCTCGGGTCTCCTCTGCCGTCTTCCGAACGCTCTGGAACAGCTGGATTTCATCGCGCCGCTTCCAGAGGAATGGATCGTGTGTGTTCGCTTGCAGATGTGGTGAATATTCAATCGAACACTATTCGGTGTGCCTGCGTGTATGGCATTTCGCCTCTCGATGTCTACGATTGCGCCCCCCCCCCCTCGTGGTGCTGTTCATCTACGTCGTCGTAGTTTTCTGATGATTGACGATGTCGGGCGGGGGGAGGACATGACGCTGACACTCTCTCCGCTTTGCGGGTCGCAGCCGTCTACCGGGCTTACCTGATCACCGTCCACGGCGACTACCCCGCCGAGGTCGCGCGGGGGATGCTGCCGCAAACGCTGCGGCACGCGGTGCGCGGCCACCCGGAGGCGATGAGGGCGACCTGGGTCGCGTGGCAGCCGCGGTGAGGGGGCCAGCTCGAACGCCGTATTTTCTCTTCCGCTTCCCGCTCTCCCTCCCTCTCTTCCCTCCTCTGGCGTTGTATGGCCCGGTCCTGGATGGTGGCCGCCAAGGGCGGGCAGTTGCAGGCGTCGCTCGGGTGGTGCGGCGGGGGCTGGGCCGCACGCGCTTTTGGCATGGCGGGGGGGCACGATTTGTCCGCCCACCGCCCCCCCCCCATCCCTCCCCCCTCCTGGGCCTGAATGGCGTCAGTCATGGCGTCAGACCTCTCCCCCGCGACAGAGCGAAACTTGAGCGAGCTCCCTCCCCCCTTCCCTGCTCCCGGGCCTGAATGGCGTTAGCCACGGGGGCCGGGGACCGCTTCTCTCCCGTTTTTCCTTCTTCCCCCCTCCCCTCATTCTTTCTTCTCCCCTCCCCTCCTCTTGCTGCTGCTGCTGCTGGTGCCTCCCTCCTCCTCCCCCGTCGTCTTCGTCGTCGTCGTCCTTCGTCGTCGGCGTCGTCGTCGTCGCTGTCGTCGGTGGGTGGTCCCTTGCCTTCCTCGGGTTTGTGGCCCCCCCGCGGGGGGGGGGGCGTCCGAAGCAGTGGCGCTGGAGGCCGTAAAGGCCGACGGCGCGGCAAGAGCGCGCAATAGTCTTCCACCCTTCCTCCCTCCGCCTGCTGTCCTTCTCCTCCTCCCTCCTCCAAGGGCGCGGGGTGCCTCTTGGCCAGTCCACGCTGGCAGGCCTCTGGCTGTCACGACCGCGTGGCCGATGGTTCGTGGGAGGGCGCTTGCCCTGGACTCGGCCCCTGAGGGTGGACGCCTGTGCGTCGCCCTATCTAGGGGATGCCAGCCCGTCGATTTTTCCAGGGCTGGTTTGACCACGCTCGAAATACATTGTTCTTTGCGGAGCGATTCTCCTCCCCTTTGTCCTCCCCTTTCTCTCTCTCCTCCCTCCCTTTCCCCCACCTTCCTCCTCAATTGGCAGCTCATGCCTTTGCCTGCGTGGGCTTGGCGTGCTGATGGTCGACAGCTGCTGCTGGCCGACCCTTAGCTGCATTTTTAGCTTTGGCTCGCCCTCCAGCCGCTGCTGAGCAGCGTGCGCCGAGCTGGGCACCGTAGGGCCCGCCTATCTCATGATGTCTATGTTGGCGAGTGCTTGCGCCCAGTTTTTAGTGACCCTTCCTTCGCCCTTCCTCTTGCTCTTTGGTCTCGTTCTCCCCCTCTTGTCCTCCCGGTGCATTGGGGACCAGTGCGAGTCCCGCTGGCTGGAGCTAGCTGGTTACGCACGCGAGAGTTTTTTTTTTTTGTGGGTCGTGCCTTGTTTCACTGTTCTTCCTCCTTGAACTGCTTCCTGCTGGCGTCAGTCTTGGTTATTTCGGCCACGCTCGCAGGTCAGGATGTTCGCATGTCGCCAATTTGCTTGCAATGCCTTGCATTGCCCATCAAATGGTCAGCGTTTTCCTCCGAGCCCATGTTCGCGAGTTTTGCCAGGGGGCGGCTGCGGTTCACTGATTGGTGCGGTGATAACCCCCATGAGGGGAAACGGATTCGATGTTCAATCGGACAAGGGTTAAGAGCTGTTGGGGTTTTGCGCTGGCAAATATTACTTTACAGTGATAACGGAACGGCATCGCACGATCCAGATTTAGCCGCGAGGCGCCAGTTGTGTTGTTTTTTTGTAATGGATGGCAGCCTTGCGCACAGTAGTGAGTATGCTGACACCCGCGCCGTACTTGCCAAAACCATTCAAAGTCCTCGCGGGCTTCACGAACATGACTCAAGACTGTGCCCCACAGTATACATTGCATTGTTTTTTGACATGGATGGTGGGGGGGGGGGTCCGTATCGGGTTGGCCACGCATGCTCCAAATGTGGAGGCAGAGTGCGGTTAGCATTGTTCTTTACAGGGATGGTTGGGGGCGGGTCGGCATGGTGTTGGCGTGGTGCTTGGTTGGCCCCCGGTCGCCTGGGGGAGGGGGTGTATATCAATAAAGAGGAAGAAGTGGGTTGGAGGAGGATCCACCCTAAGCAAATCACCCCCTAAAGGGCTGGTGGGATTTCAGCTGACGGCCGCCTGAGGAGACCTCGCCCATGCGAAGCACTTATTCGCAGAGACCTCGCCCCCTTCCCTTCTCCTCCCATTCCCCCCCCCACACTGCACACCAGCGCCTTCACGTCATTTGGAACCAATGGGCAACGTGCGTTCCGGCACCTGTCCTGGCAGGGCTCGCGTGCGCCACATCCGCACGGCGCAGTGCAGAAAGAATGGAGGTGGGAAGGGCGAACAGCCGAAGCCTGCTCCTTAGCAACATGGGAAAAGTCGAGATCATCAAGCACAGGACCGAACTGGGCGACCCATTGGGCGGCCAAGACCTGATATTTGGCCTTGCGACGGTCCCTCAAAACGACGGGGATGCAGGACCTGTCGCGCTGCCATTGGGCGCGCTAGTCAGCCAGATCGTTACCAGACTTGACGAGATCAGTAGAGGCCCTTCTCTGCATCTGCGCGCGCGTGCTGTGCGCTCGCCCCTCGACGACACGCGCGTGCTAGAGCCCCCCCATTCATCAACGCGATACCTGACCTGAATCCAAATCTCGGCCCATGCGCTGCGGCTGCTCGCGCAGAAGGCGCGCGCTCGCGCAGAAGGCGCGGCATCGAATATACACACCGTCATGCTCATATTGGCTGTCAGTGTAGAAAGTGACGCCTGGCGCAGCGTGCTGCAAGCCACAGAGCAGAGCGACAAGCTCCGCAGCGTCGATGTCGGCACCGACCAGGGCCCACGTGCCACAAGAGACCGAGAGCGCGTGGAAGTGCCCACGCCAGGGCCTGCGAGGGACATGGAAGAGTTTGGTCCATCCATGGCCTGTCCAGAAAAAAAGTGCCCTGCCATCTCCACGCGGCCCGCCCCCGAACCCCCTGGAGGGAAGGGTGGGGAAGGCAGGCAGCACGGCGTCAGGAACAAGCCGCACCTCAGCAAAGAGGAGCGGGTTGGGAACCGCATCAGAACGCACAATAGCCGAAGAGAAGGCACGTCGGTCATCAGCGCCTCGTGCATGCATGCAACAAGAGGCGTGCCAGTGTAGAAGCGTACCTGGGGCAGCCTTGCAAGCGCGGGGACGATGATGCCGATGGTGAGTGCGATGGTGCTGATGACGAGGATGCTGCTAGTGGTGGTGGTTGTGGTGGCAGTGGTGATATCTGTGACCTTGGTGGTTGCTGCTGATGATGGTGGTGCTGCTGACGACCAGGATGATACTGCCGATGATGATCATGGTGCCGACGACGATGCTGCTGTGAGTGATGTTGATGAGTATGATAATGATTGTGTTGCTGCTGGTGATGACGATGATGCTGATGTTGATGCTGTTGTTGCTGCTGATGATGATACTGCTGCTGATTTTCGATGGTAATGATGCTGATGATGATGACGATGCTGACGACGATGGTGTCGCTGATGATGCTGATGATGCTGATGATACTGGCGATGGCGATGATGATGATACTACTGATGATGATGCTGATGATGCTGCTGGATGCTGATGATGATGATGATGATGATGGTGAGGAGGTTGATGATGATGCTGATGATGACGATGATGGTGATGATGACGATGATGATGATGATGCTGATGATGATGATGATGATGATGATGATGATGATGCAGATGATGACCTTAACGGCGACGGCACCCACTATGATCATGACACTGGTGATGAAACTGAGTGTGGTCATGTCGCCGCTGAGTACGATGACGAAGAGCGGGGTCATGTTGATGACCATTACGATTATGATGATGATGCTGATGCTGATGCTGATGATGATGATGATGATGATGATGATGATGATGGATGATGATGATGATGATGATGATGGTGGTGGTGGTGATGATGATGATGATGCTGATGATGATGATGGTGATGATGATGTTGTTGTTGTTGATGTTGATGTTGATGTTGATGATGATGATGATGAGTACGATGATGTTGATGGTTCTTGTGGTGGTGAGGATAATTGTGGTGGTTGTAATGGTGGTGGTGATGCTGATGTGGATTTTGAAGGTTTAGGAGCGGGCGCCCGGAGCGAGGTGCTCACGTCCACCAGAGGCGCGCTGCCGCTGCGGACGCTACTGCCCGCGGACGGCTGGGGACGTCGCCGTCGTGGTCGTCGTGGTCGTCGTGTCGACGTGTACGTCGTCGTCTTGGTGGTCTTGGTCGTGCTGGTCGTCGTGGTCTTCGTCGTCGTCATCGTCGTTGTCGTCGTCGCCATCGTCGTCGTCGTCTTCGTCGTCGGAGGAGGAGGAAGGTGAGCTGCAGCCAGAGGAGCAGGCTGAGGGAGGGAGGGATGGCGAGGACGGGGGGAGGGGGGATGGTGAGTGGGAGGAGGGCGACGGGCGGGGATGAGGTCTTGATTCACTTTCCTGAATGTCGAGGGGAAGGGGGGAGGAGGAGGAGGAGGAGGAGGAGGAGGAGGAGGACGACGAGGAGGACGACGAGGATGAACGTAGAGGTGGCGAGAGGAGCAGGAGCCAGGAGCTGGATGACAATGATGAGAAGCATCAGGAAGCCAACTGCACTGGCGACGACGACGCCGAGGACGACGACGACGACTCTGAGTACACGACGCTGAGGACGACGACGCCGAGGACGCCGAGGACGACGAGGACGACGACGACGACGACGACGAGGACGACGACGGCTGCGACGGCGGCGGCGGTGGTGGCGACGACGACTGGGCAGGAGCCGACAGAAATTGACATGCCGGCCTACGTGCCGTCGCTGGCTAACAGGCGCCTCCCGCGCCGCTGCCGCCGCCGCGCTCTCGCAGCGCGCTGGAGGGCCGCCCTCACCCCTCGTCGCCGGGAGCCCATGAGCTCCCCAAGAAGCTTCCAAGAAATATTCATGAGGACTCTGACCCACAACCCAGGCAAGGTGGCGGGATGGGCCGAAGGCCAGTAGATCCGCCGCCCCTTGTTGATTCATCACAGGGGTGCCTGGCGTGCTAGATCCCCTCGGTTTGGGCTTTGGTTTTTTTCCCGAAAGAACTCCCCCATGGGGCTTCGGCCCGTCCCGCCGGCCACTGCCCAGAGCCCAAATCCAAATGTTTTCCTCCAAGACGGCTCAAGACGGCCTCCAAGATGGTTCTGTTGGCCCAAGATGGCCCCCAAGATGATCCAAGATGGCCTGCAAGTCCGCCCAAGACGGTCCAAGACGGCCTCCAAGACGGCCCAAGAGAGTCCAAGACCTTTCCAGTGTCGCCCGAGAAGCCCCCAAGGGCCCAACACGACCCAGGAAGCCTCCAAGAAGTCCGCCAGGAGGGCCCGCATAGGCCAAAACCATTCATTTCTTGTAGGTGTTTGAAGGATTTGGGCATTTGCTTCTTCTCGGCATTCCGACGGCTCAAGACGGCCCAACAAGCCCCCAAGATCGCCCCAAGATCGCCCACGAGGCCTCCAAGAGGGCCCCATGACGACCCAAGAGGCCCCCAAGACGGCCCCCAGAGGGCCCCAAGACGGCCCAAGAGACCTCCAAGACGCCCAAGATGGCTTCCAAGACGGTCTCGAAGCGCCCCAAGACGGCCCCAAGTCGGCCCAGAAAGGCCCCCCAGGCGGCTTCCGACGGCGTCAGACGGGCCAAGAGCCCACCAAGATGGCCGAAGTTGGCTCGAAGCTGGCCCAAGACGGCCCAAGAGGCCTCCAAGAGGGCCTCCAGGAAGGCCAGAAAAGGCCAAAAGCAATGATGTTCCATAGGCTTTCGATGGATGTTGACATTTGCTTCTTTTCGGCCTTCCGACGGCCCGATACGGTCCAAGAGCCCCAAAGGTCGCCCAAAGACCGCCCCAAGTGCATCCAAGATGGCCCCAGAACGGCCCAAGCGGCCCCCACCACGGCCCCAAGAGGCCCCCAAGGCGGCCCAGGAGGCTTTTAAGACGCTCAAGATGGCCCCCAGAAGACCGTCCCTGGAGCATTCTAAGAGGGCCCCAAGTCGGCTCAGAGTGGCCCCCCTTAACGTTCGGCCACATAGGCGCTTCCACAAAGACGGGGCGGCGGTGATTCGCCGTAGGCGTCCTCGACCATCTGCACGGCGTACCAAATGTCTGAGGTTTTCGGTCTATGTCTCAGGAACCCCCCCGTGGGGAAGATGGCGCCAAGTTGTATTCAAGACGGGCCAAGATGGCTCCACGATGGCCTGACATGGCCTCGGCCAACGAGGCTCCCAAGAGGCTTCGAAGACGGCCCAAGAGACCCCCACGAGGTCCTCTAGGAAGGCCCGAAGATGCCAACATCATTGATTACTGTTTCTGCTCTTTTGGATGATTTTGGCATTGCATCAAACTGGCCGTCCGACGGTCCAAGACGGCCCAAGAGGCCCCAAATGTTGCTCCAAGATCGCCCCAATACGGCCCCAGGACTGCCCAAGCGGTTGCCAAGACCCAACGGGCCCCAAGACGGCCCGAGAAGCTCCCAAGACGCTTAATATCGCCTTCGGAACGACCCTGAAGCGCCCCAAGAGGGCCCCGAGATGGCCCAGGGAGGCAACCGAGATGGCTTCCGAGCGAGACGGGCCGGGAACGCCGTAAGACGGCCAAAGAGGCCCCAAATGTTGCTCCAAGATCGCCCCAATACGGCCCCAGGACTGCCCAAGCGGTTGCCAAGACCCAACGGGCCCCAAGACGGCCCGAGAAGCTCCCAAGACGCTTAATATCGCCTTCGGAACGATCCTGAAGCGCCCCAAGAGGGCCCCGAGATGGCCCAGGGAGGCAACCGAGATGGCTTCCGAGCGAGACGGGCCGGGAACGCCGTAAGACGTCCAAAGAGGCCCCCAAGAAGCCCCCAAGAAGCCCCCAAAGGACCCAAAGGGGCCCACAAAGGCCCCCTGGAGGCCTCCAAGAGGCCTCCAGGAAGCTCCCAGGAGGCTCCAATAATGACCCAAGAAGCTCCCATGGTTCAATAGCGTGGCTAAACTTTGCCCAAACGTTTGGCCACACAGGCGTCTCCTAAAGGCAGGGGGCGGCGGTGATTCGCCGCAGGCGTCTACGATCCGCCGCCCCCTGTGGCTTGTTACAGGGGTTGGTGGGTTTTAGAACTCCCAGTGTGGTCTCGGCACAACCCGTCGTCCAGACGGAACTTCTAGCAAAGCCCAGTTCCATTGGCCCGATCGCTTCCAAGACGGCCAAGCTGACCTCCAAGATGCCTCCACGCTGCTTCCAAGATGGCCAGACCAGCCAAGATGGCCGAAGGATAGCCTCCAATATTGTCCCAGCATGCCCCCAAGACGACTAACCCGAGCTAACGAGAGAGCCCAAGATGGACCCAACAAGGCCCGAACTGTTTAAGCAGCCAACCCGTCCCAAGAGAGCCACCCCAAAGGGCAAACATCAATTTTGTTCCACGGTGGATTTTGTTGGATTTTGTCACCTGCTTCTTTTCGGCCTTCGACGGCTCAAGACCGTCCAAGAGGCCCCAACTATTGCCCTAAGATCGCCCGCGAGGCCTCCAAGATGGTCCCATGATGGCCCAAAAGGCCCCACAGACGACCCCAAGAGGTGCCCCGAGACAGCCCAAGGGATTCCCAACACGCCCAAGATGGTCTCCGAGTCGTTTCCGAAACGCCCCAGGGGTGCTTCGAATCGGTTCAGAGAGGGCCCCCCAACGGCTTCCGATGGCGTCAGACGGGCCAGGAAGGACCCAAGACCGCCACAGACGGAGGAAGAAGAGGAGGGGGAGGAGGAGAAGGAGGAGGGGGCGACGGCGGAAGGCCATTGGTGACCTTGCGCCCGGGTGCTTCCCACCACCCGCGGGAGGGGGAGGCGGGCCCGAGCGCGCCGTTCGCCACGCGGCGGACGGCGCGCCGTGCGTTACGTTCGCCACCACCTATTTCACGATCCACACGGAATGCTTTACGATCTACGGAATCCTCACAAGGACCAGCGTGATATATGTACATATATATATATATATATATCCTTGAGATTATCATGGGTTTTATCTCGTCCCCCCTCCGTCCTCGAAACGATCTCCTCTAAACCGCCTCTCCGTAGCCGCCTCGGCTTAAGGGTGCGGGGGTCCCCAGAATGACCCCCTCCGAGGAGCCCGCGCCCGACTGAGCTCCCCCCTCGGCGGCTGGGGGAGCTCACCAGCCCGCGCCGCCGCGGCGGCAGCACGGCGGTGGCGATGTTCGGAGCCGCGGGGGCTGGCGCGGGCGCCCCGCCTGGCCCGCCTGGGTTGGGCCCTGGGGGGGGGCTCCTCGGCGTGGGCGGCGGCGGAGTGCTGGGCGGCTTTCTGGGACTGCCGCCTGGCGTCGGCGCCCTGCTCCCGCCGCCGCCTGCCGGAGTGGCCGCTGGAGCTGCCGCGGCCGCGGGCGGAGCCGCCGCAGGCCCCGCAACACCAGGAGGCGGAGGCAAGGCAGCGGCGAAGCCCGGGATGGGCGGCAAGGGCGGTATGGGCGGCATGGGTGGCCCAATGGGCGGCATGGGCAAGCCGCCTGCCGCCCCGCCGCCCGCTGCAGGTCGCGGCAGAGGCGCTGGCGCTGGAGCAGGAGCGCCAGCAGCCCTGGGCGGCCCCGTGGTGCCGGGTCTGATCCCAGGGATCCCCGGGGTGGGAGCCCTCGTGGGGCCACCCGCTCACGCTGGGGGTGGAGGCGGCCACGCCGTGGCAGGGCAGGCCGCCCACGCGGTGCCAGCCGCCGCCGCGCCTGTGCCCGTGGGCTGGCAGGCAGGCATGCCCGCGGCGGGCGGGGCGCTGCCGCAGTTCGGAGCAGCGTTCGCCCAGCCAGCGGTGGCGGGAGTCGCGGCGGCGGCGCAGCAGGCTGGACCCTGGGTATACGTGCCCATGGCGCCCCAGGCCGTGACCCACGGCCTCCTGGGGCTGAGCGCCGGCTGCCGCGTCGAGCTGGTGATGTACGATGCTGCCTGTCAGCCAAGCGGGACGACGACGATGACCGTGACAGGGCTGTACCCGCCTGACGCGGCAGGAGAGTTCGTGGAGTGCACAGTGGAGAGCAGCAGCGACCCTCTCTACCTGCCGATCCTGCAGGGCATCTTCGCGATGGGAAGCAGCGTGGTGCACCTCTGCACCCAGGGCGTGGCGACTTGCTGTCGCACGACCGCTTGGCCAGGGCGCAACGTGGTGCACTCGGACACGTTGCGCGTGCTGGGGGCGGCCGGGCCTGGAGGCGGAGCCGCTGATGGCGCTGGAGCTACCCCGCCTGGCGCCCTCCCTGCAGGCGATGCGCCGCCCGCCGCTGACGCTGGACCCGTGGTGCCGGGCAAGAACGCAGGTGGAGCTCCCAAGGGCTCAGGCGCTGCCGACGGTGAGGACGTGGATGGCAGGTCGGCCGAGGAGATGAGGAAGATCGTCAAGAGGCTGAAGGAGAAGCTTCAGAGGAAGCGCTCCATGGGCGAGGCGCTGGCCGAGCGCGCCGAGGCTGCGCTGGAGGGCCGCCGCAGCCGCAAGAAGCAGAAGAACAGGGACAAGGATAGCTCCGACAGTGCGAGTTTTGATGAGGCCCCGACCGCTGGTTCCGGCCGCCGAGTGCAGAAGCTGGCCCGCTCCGACCCCGGGGCGCTCATGGCGGCGGGTCTGAAGCAGATCCGTGAGTACTTGGCGCAGCGGGGCGGGGCCGACAACGATGATGAGCTGGATAGGATGGCGTCCAACGTGGTGCAGTATATCACGAGCGTGTGGCACGGCATGCACCCTCAGAACGAGATGGGGGTGCGGAATGTGCGCGAGATGAGGGTGATCGGGGAGTGCTTGGACGCCCTCACGAGGGGCGATCTGCCGCAGCT